ACAAATATGTGCAAACAGTGACTAACACACACACACATTGCTCAAGAAACAGACCAAGAAAAGTTCTTTTAGAGCTGTACATTAAAATCTTTCAAAGAGTCCTGACTGAGTTATAGATTCTTTGGAGAATCGTGTCACAAGGGAAAATGCATACTCAGACGCTTCAATCCCAAAATGCTTTTTCACAATCGCATTCCTAAAAAGAAAGAAGTGGAAGGAGACACAGCAGTATTAATTAAAGAGAATCATATTTTATGAAGCAATTCTCAGGAAGTAAGTGCAGCACTGACCCTCCAGCCCCACCCCAGACAGACAATGTCAAATAAACTAACACATTTAAATTAGGGCATAGACCAGACCAGTCTGGGCTAGGAGCAACATCACCCTACTAGCAACCCGCCTTAGCAACCCGTAAGTAGGCCTGTAGTGTTGGCAAGGTTACTAGAGCAGAACTGGGCCTTGTACTATGCTGAGAATACACACACTGGTTTCTGTGGGTATGTGTTCTGTCACTGCAGGGCAGGATTTTCATGGTGCAACATGCAGACCCTAGACCTGATGAAGGCTACGTGTGACACTCCTGTTTTTCCATGATATAATTCATGGCCGATTCAGCCAATGAGGACCCTGTTTGAATTCTGGAGCAGCACACGTATCGATTCCCAGGTCACGGGCCATTAGAGGGAGGAGGTGAGCTTGAAGCTGCATCGAGATCACGGACAAACTCAGGCCCAATGTTTGCCTGGAGCGCACTGTGCTAGACTGGACTGGAGCATCAAACACATGTCATTTGACAAAAATCAGACAAAATCAAAGTATATCAAAGAAATAAATCAATAAAGACATAAATCAAAGAAGGAGCAAGTCAGCAAGGTACAATAAACGACTAATCTAAAGTCAGGGACAGCGGGACAGTACACTGCAGAGCAACGGGGTACACAGCATATATACATATATATATATACATATATATATATACATATATATGAGCAAAGGATTACTGCTTCAGTAGGCTGTTGATTTGTGCTCATGCAATACATCATGTTCTGTCTCGACATGAAACGTATTTTATATTCAATATTAGAAAAATGGAAATAAACGCACATCTGTCTCCACAGGTTTCAGGCCCACAGTGACATAAAGCTTTAGGGATAACATGCAAGGCAGCACAAAGTTATGATTTAAAGATTAATCAAGACGATACCAACACTCGAAGCCATTTCAAGTCAAACCAGTCCAGCCTAGATCAGCACTAACAGCAGAAATGCGCTGTGTCGCTACACTCTTTCAAAGTCATCCTTTTGGATCTCGCTTTCTATTCATGGGGGTCAGGGCTGATAGCAGATATTTGACCAGTTCTTTGGGGAAAGTGAAGGACATTATGCTATATTACCCAGCAGGCACCAGGTGGTGGCGGTGCAGAGGACACCATGGCAACGCCATTAAAATGCCATGGCAACACCATAGCAACTGTGGCCCCACTTGCTCGCTGGTGGTGTGGTACAGCCCAGACTTGCTACAGTGGTGTGGTCGTCAGATACACACTTCAGTCACATCAGTAACAGTAACATTGTTCATGAATTATTTCATCAATCAATTACGTGATCATCATCAACAATCAGTCAAAAGGAGCAAGAACACAGTATCTACTGGTCTCTGTTTTTTGCTAAGTGAGAGACAGACAGAAGGATGAGCTGATTTGAAAATAAAGTGGTCAAAAGTAAAAAAGCAAAGGTGGATGGGTTCATTAAAACAAGTGAGATGTGACCACCATGTGATGGAAGTTTAAAAGAGCAGAGGTGTAGATGGTTTGTAGCCTGTTAATGGAAACCTGTTAAAGAACCACAGAGTGCAGCAGAAAGCAAAAGAGATGCAGAGTGTGTGAGAGAAACATATTAAGATGTGAAAGCAGCAAATGTAAAAATGTAATGTTAGGTAGTACAAGAGGAGTGACAGACTGATAGTTATAGTAGATACAGATGGATAGAGAGTTTTGACTTTTACTTGTCTTTTTTGTCACAGGCACTAATGTCTTCACAGTCATATAGGAGGAATCAAAATTCAAAAATGATTTCAAGGTCTAGAATCGCTACAAAGCTAAAACATTTAAAACTATTTCATCTAACACTTCCTCCAAATATACCAAACTTAACTAATATATATATATACCTGTATGTATATATATGTATATATTTATTTGTACATATATATTTCTTTATAGATAAATGATAGAATTCAAATGATGACTGAATACAATAAAATATCTCAGTTAAATCACAGTATAACATGGTACATTCTCAAAAACATAGTATATTTCAATATATTCTTTTTTTTCCTCAGCATAAAATTAAATAAATAAAACAAAATAAGCAAAGGGATTTTTAAGAGTCACTTCTGTTCATGCAGTCACAGACTTAAGTATTAGCGCCTCGATAGAAATCATTAATGCTCAATGACACACCAGGTTTAAGCCCTGTTCATTGTTTGAAAATAACTGTGTTCTAACACACAGGAAGCAGTCAGAGTGTTGCCGTGGTTTCCACTACCGGGCTGCAGTGTACAGGGACCTCGCTATCTCACTGAAAGGGGGCTGTCCTGGTTCCCAGGCATATTCTACAATTGACCTACACAACCCCACCATTAATCTCTGTGATTTCATTCATCTAAACATGCAATGAGACTGGGGCTTTCCAAAGGATGGGGTAAAAGCATTTCTCTAAAAACAGGTTGTTTAAAAAATTGCCCCAACGCAGACTTAGAAAAAAGCAATCCGTGTGCAGACAAAAGGTACAGCTGGCCTCAAGAAGGGCAAAGCAGTGAAAAGGGGGAAGTGAGAAGGTCGACTAAGTCTTCGATCTGTGACGACATGCACAAATACAACGCACAGCCCCTCACATAGCAGGTCAACCCCCTCCCCCTTCCTCTTACCATTATCGACAGCATCCAAAAGCTACAAAGTAAGTAGATGATCTTTTGCTACATCATGTCAACGCTACATTCAACTACAATTGAAGAAGAGCTGGGTTGTGGCTGGTCTTAGTGTGAGAAATGAGGTGGATATGCTGACAGTATGAAAATAGAGTGTATGCTCTGCAAGACTGGCACGCTTGCACAGTAGATGGCTTTTGCTGCAGCTCACAGCAGGTACCATGCTACATATAACTTCTTTGTCATGAGCTTTTTGTATTCAAATTGACCTAAATTTTACCTAAAGCCAGGTGCTGTAGATTTAGTCAATCTGTTACAATCACACCCAACCAAATTTGCTGAAATATATCCCCCAAGAGAATAAAACAGAAACATAAATAAAAGATGACGTGGAATGTTTGACCCTGACGAGAATATTTGATCTCACATATTTAAGCAAGAAAAGAACATACAACAATGAGCCACTGCATCCCTGTTACACTGAAAGTGGAAATATTGCTCAAAGTCAATCAGGACTTATCACCGACTGCATTCAGTTAAGTGTCTGCTCCGAATGTGCACTTCAAAACATTCACAGTATGTTGTTCAGTCTATTTGCAAAAGAAAAAATTAGTAACAGATAACTTCCTTGTGCGGCTATCTCGGCATAATACTGTTTGACCATCGCTTGCAGTGAAATTAATGGCCAATGTCAGCAATATTAGCTAACTTCTAGTGAAATCGCCATGTCAGCAAAATGTGGTACCATGAGATTGTGCATTTACAACTATGGCACACGTGAAAAATACAATGAAGAATTGTGCTTCACATAATCCATCATCCACATGGTCCACCGTGGCACAATATTAGAGGCAACATAGATGCATATCCTCAGAGGGATTTTGCAATGAGCTGCACTTGGTTTGAATTCCTCTTGGTTCCCCTGAATAAGTCCTGACTTTCGTGAAAGTAATTAGGTTCATAGCTGCACACCTCTTGCTCTGTATCACGTCGCTACAATCATCAAACTGACCGCGAGACTCTTACACAACAGTCTCATTTGAATATTATGCAGCCATCTAGTGCCAATTACAGATATTGCATCAATCACCCCCTTGATCCATTTCCATGAGTGAATTATGTGTTAGTTGTGTGGAAAGAATAGATGGGATTTTATTTAAGAAACCAATTTTGCCTAAAAGCTCTTGAGTGGAATCTTGGCATTGATATTGAATAATTCCCACTTCCAACACTAGCCACATCCAGCCTCCTCCTTATTAAAACACTAACACAGTCAGAGAAGTATATTGATAGAATAAAAATAGGAGATGAAGACAGAATCTGAATAAGAAACGAAAAATAAAGACAGACATAAATTAAATTCTGCTACATGTCTTTTTTTCTTAGTATTATTTCTCTTTTAATGTTTTGTTTGTAGTTCAGATTCTTTGATACTTGGTTCAATTTATGGTTGGACCAGAGGTGACATGACAGGCTCCAACAGGGTAGAGGAAAAAAGGTTCCTGTTCAGTCTGATTGGTCAAAAGATTTTGTAGTAAAACGTGACATCACATAGATGGTCCTGGGGTAGAGCTAGATGGGTCTGACGATGTCATGAGGTCAAAGGGCAAACAGGTACCACTGTCCTCACTGCCCATTGAAAGGTGATCAGGCAGAGTGCACGAGAGAGGTGACTGCATTGCTTTTCATATCAACTGATTTAAAAAAGGGAAGAAGAGGGAGCAGTCTCTCCAACAGCAAGAAGCAGTCCACCACTCCAGTTTAAAAGCTAACAGCCAACGAAGATAGGGAGACAGCCTTTTTTTTCTTTTGGGAGAAGGTGGGTCTCTCCTCATCCCACAAAGGTGTGTTCTCAAAGCCAGAGGGAGGGAGACGTTTTGAGCATAATCTGTGTGCTTGTGTGTGCATGCATGTGTGTGTGCAAACATGACATCATTACTCACAAGTTGGAGACTACTGTTATCCACAGTTGTGACTCGGGGAGGGGAGGAGAACCGAGGATGACATCACAAAGCTCATTTCTGAGCAGAGGAGGAGTTCCGGAGCTGCTGTCTCCGGAGAAGCAGCCTCACCTTCACTCTCATCGTCGTGGGACCCATCCAAACGGATGTAGCTCACCCTGGTGTGGCGTCTCACTGTCGCCCTCACGAGAACTCGCACAATGGAGCAGGTGCCAGTAGCGGTGCTCTCACCGAGAGAAGTGTTAGCAATAGAACTACTGTCCATATTAGTTCCTGTTGTGACGGTTGCTGATTGATCACCTAAGGCCACCAAGGCAGCAATATCTCTGGGGTTATCCCTGGCTCCGGCTGCCATGGCACCATGGTTTTCAATAGCGGTGGTGCTTGCTCTCACGTCTCCCTCTCTCCTCTCCCCCTGTCATACCTCACTCTCAAGGCTGGAGAAGTGGGCCGAACCTCGGCGTGAGCACAGGCTCTTGGCTTTGAGTGGCAGGTGGGGGGAGTAGAACCTCCGTGGCTGTGGCACAGAACGCAGTCTCTGGTACTGGAGTTTGGCGCTGGCTGAAGACTGAGCCTGGGCCTGGCCTGTCATCCCTACCCCTGGTGGTGGTGAGATGGAGGATGAGGAGGGCGGAGGTGGGATGGGCATTGGAAGGGAGGTAGGAGACATCGACGGCTGCTGTGGTGGTGATGGTGAGGGCTGTGGTGGATGATCTGTTGGCTGTGTGCTGAGGCTGAGGTTAGACTGGCTGCCTGATTTGGCCTGACTTGAATCTGGTTTAGGAGGCAGAGACTTCGGATGGGGAACCCCGCTGAAGCTGTGGCAGTGGGGGAGAAGCTCCTCTTGGCTGTGGGAAAGCGCAGAGGCTCCTCTCTTGGAGTGGGAGGTGTGCGAGCGGCTGTGGGGATGTGGATAAGGATGCGGTTGGGGGTAAAGGCTACAGGAACACATGGTTGCCCGACCTGATTCTTCCCCTCTTTCCCTACTCCTCCCCTTGCTCTTCCCTCCTCCACTCTTCCACTTTTTCTCTCCCTTCACAGGAATCTTGTCCATAGACCAGTATCGTCTAGGTGGAGGGAAGGCTGTTGGGGGCGTAGGCCACTGCGAACCCAACCCCCCACTCCCTCCCCCAGAACCCCAACCAACTGGCCCTGATCCCCAGAAGTCAGTACCAATCCAGCCCTCTGCTCGGGTTCCCAGTAAAGAATCATCTCGGCTGTTTATACTACCCCCTTTCTCTCTGGAAGGGTAAGTACCAAAGAACCAGCCTCCTCCACCTATCCCCCCAATTCCACTGCTCCCTCCTGCACCTTCCTCCCAGTATCTTTCAAAACGACCAAACTCTCCTGAAGAGCCCTCATCTGAGTAGCTGTCTTCTGCCCTGGCCCTGTCCCTCTCCGACTCAGAAACTGCCCCCCTTCCTGCCCTCCTTCCCCTACTGTCCATCCGCTCCCTCACTCTGTCCCTCTCCTCCTCTTCCTCATCATCGTCGTCATCGTCATCAGAGTCCCACTCTTGGAAGGACAGCCCTTCTCTTGTCTGTGCTTTGTCTTTTTCATAATGCATTAACAGCGGGCGGCGCTCCCCAACTCTACCACTATCTTCTCTATCTGTCCCTCCACTTCTTCTACGCTTGGATGATGGAAGGAGTGGGTGAAGGGATGTTGGAGGAGCACCAGAGTTATCTCCTCTTCCATTCACCCAAAATTTGACAGATGCAGGGAGTTTATTCAAGTTGGGGTAGCGGCTAGTTGGTGTACGATGTCTTGAATGAGAGTGTGAAGATTTGGGACGCCTCTCCCTGTCCTCCTCGTCCCTGTCATTCCCTTCCTCACCTCCGTCTCTCCTGCCTCTTTCCCTCTCGCCATCCCATGAATCCCGCCCCTTGTCTCCAAATGGGCTCCTATACTGGCCAGAAAAGGAAGAGTAGTCTTGTATTCCTCCTTCTCTCTCGCCCTCTGCTTCTCCGTCCCTCTCTGGCTCTACATCTCCCTCCTCTGGCTCAGACCGTTTTCCGCCAGTTGATTTCTTCCTTTTCTTTGTTTTCAGTGCCTTCTTTTTCTTCTTTTTAACCTTTCTCCGCTTCCTTTCTCTCTCTCGTTCTCTTTCTCTTTCCTCTCTCTTTTTCCTCTTTTTGCTCTTTTTCTTCTTCTTCTTCTCTTTTTCTTTCCTCCTCTTTTTTTCCCTCTTTTGTCGGTCAGCATCTCCACCTGTTCCGCTCCTCTCTCTTTCACTCCAGCTTGCCCACCACTCTTGGAGCTGCGACAGTTGGCTCCCACCTCTTTCTCTCTCGCGTTCCCTTTGTCTGTCACCCCAGGATGTGCGTGGTTTCCTGGGCGGTATGGGGGGTGGAAGGCGGCCGTGGCTGAAGGAGCGTGGCCTGATGATTGAACGTTCCCTGTCTCTCCCCCTCCCAAGAAGGAGGCTTGACTCCTCCGTCAGCTCTTCATCGTCGTCGTCATCCTCTCCATCCATCCCTCCAGTCCTGTCCCGCGTGCTCCTGGAGGAGCTGTACGAGTAGGTAGGTGATGTGGAGCGAGATGATGAAGCAGATGAGGACGAGGATGTGGACGAAGTGGTTGACGAAGAGGAAGAAGATGTATACAACAAGGATGCAGATGGGGAAGGAGGGGTATAGGAAGGGCTGAGGGGTACTGGTACAGGAAGTGAGAGCGGAGGAGAGAGGGGGCGTGGCCTCCTCCCTCCTCCCTCCCTCACAACATCTCGCGTTCCTCCCCTCCGCCCCAGCGGCAGAATGTTCTCGTAAAGCGGCCCTCCAGGCTCTTTAGGCTTCTTCGGCCTCCGCTTTCTCCAGAAGGACGAGGGGAGAGGGGGAGAGGGGTGTGGCAGTGGGGGTGTAGGGGGCAGAGGGGCCTGACTTTTAGGAGGCAGTCTGGGAGTACCCAGAGCTTTCACAGCACCTTTCCCCTGACCTCCACTGCCACCTCCCACCACCTTCTTCCCCACCCCATGGTCCATGCCTTTCTCAGAGTAGAAGGCGACACTAGCTGGAGGGGGCTGGGGGTGGCCCCTAGGCATAGTCTTGGGGGTCTGGGACCCTGCCTGCTGCTCCATGCAGGGCCCCAGTCCCTCAGGGTCAATGGGACCATAGTATCTCTTATAGCCATCAAGTCCCCCGCCCCCTCCAGTAGTTGAAGCCCAGTTTGGTGGAACTTTCTGAGAAAAGGCTCCCATGTCAGTCATGGCACCCCGAACAGCCATGGGGTTGGTGGCTGTGGCAGATTTGGGCAGCCTCCAGCGATCCACCACAGCCAGCCTGCGGTCTGGCCGGGGCAGGAAGGTGGAACAAGGGAGAGGTGCACCAGCAATGGGGGTGTTGGAGGCACCCAGTGCTGTCCCAGAGTGCACCATGGTGGGAGGTGAGCCTGGTAGAGGTGTTTTGTAGACAGGCTGTGGTTGCTGCTGCTGTGGTTGTTGCTGCTGTTGTGCCATGGCAATGGTCGGGTTGCTCATGGCGGTTGAGACCACATGTGGCTGTGATGGCACTGTAACCATTGTGTGGTGGTGCGAAGGCAAAGTTTTTGCACCACCTGGTGCTGTTTCATCCTCAAAGCTACAGCAGCTATACATGCCCTGAGGGGAAAAAAACATATAAAAGATGGTCATATATTTAAAAGATGCCACACCGAATAGCAGCAGATGACAAAACTAAATTGACTTTTTAAAACATATTGTAATTTATGGAAAGATATACTTTAACACATAATAGGAATATATATATTCTGTATCCATCAGAATTCCCATATATAAACGTAAGAAATAAATACGAACAGGGGTGGTTGAGAACAGAAATAGAAGTAAAACAGAACATCTCAAATAAATAATTAAAAAGGAATGTGAGGCTTTTTTTAAAGATAACACTCATTCCTATTCATAGCTGAGTTATGCGCTGTGTGATTAACACCACTGCACACAAAAATGCATAAATTACAACTACAGAAGTGAATACTGGACAAACTTTCACTTTAGCTAGAATAATCACAACCATATGGTGTGTCTTGTTTCTGTCAAGGTCACTGTCAAAGGAACAGGATACCCGTGATGTGAGAAAAATTGAATTTCAATTAATCACATGCATTGACTGAGTCAAAGTGAAGCTACCTAAGACCTTACACTTTCTAATATTCACCCTCATTAAAAGATAATGGCTGAGAAAAGCAGGATAACATCTTCTTACACATGCCCAGAAGTCTGTTTATTAATCACATTGCCACAGGAAAAACTGTTAAAATGCCATGTCAAGTAGCAAATATATGTTCCTGAAACACTTCTGAATGTTTGCACAAGAGTACACGTGAAGAATTTAGAGCGCAGGTGAAGGAAAAAGCATTACACACACACAGGAAAAAACACTTACCCTGCTGATTGCTAGGAGAAAATCCAATTTGCCAGAACTAGTAGCCATGCAGTGGCGCAGCTTCCAGTAGACTAAGTGTTCCCAGGCAAACACCAGCAGACTGAGGCCCATAGCCACCAGCAGCATGTAGAAAACCCCAGCCATGTTATCAATGTCCAGTTTACTGCTCATCACCTCAATTTTATCGTTATGGCAGATGCCAGACAGCCATAGGCGTTCAAGCATCTCAATCTCATCTGGAAGGAAAAGGACGACAGGAAGTAGAAATTAAGGCAAGTGAGAGGGAGCACAATATCAGAATAACCAAAAGAATAAGGGGTGAGCAAAGGTAGAAAGAACGAAAACAGGAAGAGAGTGGGGTTAAAGAAAACAATGCAAAGAAAGGATGACATGTAAAGTCTGGTTGTAGTGGGTAAAAATGGTCAGAAAGGCATCATGGTTGATGGTAGGAAAGTAAAGGTAGAGATGAGAAAGTTTATTTCAAGGGTTGCTGCTAATAAACACTGAAGTGCAGCAATAAAGTATTGCTTGTTGTTCAAGGTGACTTCTCAGGGTCAGAGGTCAGCACTATAAAACACTGCGGTTAAAGAAACAAAGAGAAAAGAGCAAGGCAGGTGGGGATACAGAGTCCGAAACAATAAAGTAGCACTAAGAAGTAAAATGGCATCGACAGTCTAATCTCAACACTGTAACCTAAAGTAAATGAGCTGAAGAGGGGAAGGAGAGACCAGGAGCCACACTGAGATGGGCGGGTAGTTGGAACAAGCATGGACAGGAGGGTTAGAGGTAATGAGAGAGTTAGGAAGAATGCCTTGTAAAGAACCAAAGGGAGCGGTATTCGTTCTCTGTCCACAAAGGCGTCAGGGGAAATGAGACAGCGTTAGAGGGTGCTGAAAGACGGGGAGCAGAGATGGAAGACGAAAGGTTGAAATTGTGTCATTATGACAAAGTGTGGAACACTCCTCAGCTTGAGGAGGATGAGAGGAGAGTTAAGGAGGGGAAAAATGGGACGAGAGGGAGAACCGATAGGCGAGGGACAGAGACACAGGCAGAGAGAGAGAGCAGAGATCATAATCATTTAATTGTCCTGGAGAGATGGTCAGAATCTCCATCCAGGTGGTAAGCTCTGCAGGGAATTCAAGATTCCCATCTTTTAAGTTACCAGGAACTAGCCAACGCGTTTCTACCCATAGCCCAGCCTTTTCACTCATGATCTCACTGGCACTGGGGTTCTGTACTTCCCTGTTTAGCTTATGATTGGCTACAAGAGCTGCTTGTGTAACCATAGTGATGACCAGCCATAAGATGCGGCATATGATTTCCAACAAGGCCAACTCAACAGAACTTGTGGCGCACGCTTTTCTTATATTAACAACAATGGCGGCATGAGCGGCACTGCAATAAAGAGGTCTAAAGGTTGAGTTCATGCTACGCTAGAGTCTCTGAACGGTTTCACATCAAATGGCTGAAGCAGGGTTTTAAAGCCGACAGGTCACGCATCCGCAGCTTTAGACTGCGCTGCGAAAACTCAAGGTCTTGCCTTTTTCATTTGAGCCATCATTAGCCCTGTTTGCTAGGCTTATCTGAAACCGATTCAGTCGTGTGTGTGATCTGGCAAATGCGCCTTCTGTTGAACACCATTAGCCAATCAGCTGTGCCCTCCAGCTATAGCAACAGTTATACCGCAGCTCACTCCAAAACTAAGGCGGCTGCTCCCAGTCTCAGGTTCAACCATAAAAACATGCACTCCATCATAGAAAGGTCTGTTTTCTAAATTAAAAAGCATAACCCCACTGAAGAGGATTTGTTCGTGTCGTTGACCTCCGTCTGAATCTGTGTCCTGATATGAAAGCAGCAGGTACCTTAGTCAAGAGTTCAGACAAACAGGTGGTCTCGCGTCTGTCCTCCACTTTGCAAATCTCCACTGGGCTTTTTTTCCTCAGCTCTAAGTCTCATCTTGTGGGTCAGCTACCGTTTGACTCACGATGATTCATCTTGCGCTTTTACGCCTCTCTCTTTCAAATCTGACTCTTCTTTTCATTGGTTACCTACCCAGCCCCCCCAAATCTTTGTGATGGCAAATGTTTCTACTTCTCAGGCACAGCCAACTCAGGTCTGCCAAATGTGACAGGTGTGTCAAATCCACTCTGCACCTATGTTGTTCCTGGCAGCCCAGGTCAGGGAGAGCTGGCACAACTGTAAACACAAAGCTGGCGTGCACCAAAAAGACATTTATTAAAGGACACTGTATCTGTGTGTGTATGAACACACACACACGCATTTGTTAATGTGCAAGCGCCAGCGAGCATGTTTGCATTTTGCTGCATGCCAGATGTGGCACGACTCCAGATACATCCACACACACTGAGCCACACAGTCGTTGAGCAGTAAACCATAACCCGTACAATGCCATGCTTTTATCGCAACATGACAAACCTCTCAGTATTCATAGCAAGAATTCTGAAAAATACCCTGCTGGCCAAGAGCTGAAAATCCAGCTTCTCACATTTTAATATCTTCCTACTGAATAATATATCCTAGGAATCAAAGTCATGATACCATGTTAAAAAAAAACTGTGAATCTGATAAGAGGGGAATTGGAAATCTTGCAATTTAGCTCTTTTGCTTTTATCAGGAAACAAGATGCAATGAGATCAATGCACCATCTCTTAAAGCCGTGGTGTGAATCACCAGAGACAGCAACACGGAAAACAATGCACTCAAAGGGTAGAGAAGTGCTCTGCTATCCCCTAATGCAGTTGTAAAATGAAACAACTCAACAGGGCATGGGAAAATAATGATGTAACACAGTGACACGACTAGGCCCAGCTAAAGGTGTGATGCGGAGTTCTTGGGCTGCAGGGCGATTTCTGAGATACAGCCTTTGAGGGCACGACGAATGTGAACCCCCCTCCTCACTTGCCTCCACATCCAAACAATCTAATCCTCTTCCTTAGTAATCCACTCCGATGATGCCTACCTACAACTGTAAACCTCAGCAGTCAACACCATGCTGTACCTAGACACATCCAGCGTACACAGCTGGTGGCAGGATGGATATGTGTCACACACAACCAAAGCACAGACGGGGTTGTGTATTAAAAACCAACAAACAGCATTCCACAGCCACTGTCCCCCTGCATTTCCTTCAAACAAACACACACCACCACACATTCTCCTCCAGGTCCAGCCACTCAGATCCACACACCAGTCTTATTTAATAGATCTTGGCACCAAATTGGCATTATCAGTGTGTAAGCAGCTAAAGTGTCTGAGTGCCAGAAACAGCTAAAGGGCTTTGTCCGCCACGCCATAAGCAAAGCTGATTTAAAGCATGAGGAAAAGCCAAACACGCTGTATCCCATCTAGACAATAAATGCGTGTGGCAGACTGTGTGAAATAACAATCAAGCATTAGTGGACTGACATCTTTCGCGTAAAACAGATTTTCTCTGTCAAACAGAGCCGGCTATACGCTCACGGATTCATTCTACAGTCAAGCAGACAAACGATGTATTGACAACACTTTCACAGTTGTCAATAATTTGATGATTCAATACATTTCCAATGTGTGTTTATGCATCGGGGCACAACTTTCCCGGGCTCTGGGTATTTTCAGGTGTTCCTTTACTTCTTTTTTATCCTCCATTTCTGTGTCTGTCTCAGCTAAACAGTATTTGTGTAAATCCGTCACCACACAAGTTGTGACTTTTTACAACTCTGACTCACTCAAGTAAATCCTATTTCTCTTTTACCATTCCAAGCAGCAAAAAAAGAAGGCTATGGAAAGTAGGATCAGTTTATTATAAAGAAGAGGGGGAGAGAGTGGGGACTCACATTCACCAGCAAACAAACAAATAACATTCTACATGCTCCCACCACACCTTTTTATTCCCCTCTCTTCCTGTAAATAGAGACTCACATACCCCATCAGCCCAGCCTCATGCATTATTATTCCCACTGACACAATAAAAACACCTTGTATTTTCCACTTTGTTCACTTCATCTACACCCTGCATCATCCATTCATCCCCTGGCTTACCATCTCCCACCAGCTGCAACAAAGCCAGGTCAAGAGGACGTTTCCAGCGTGAGTTTTTGTGCAGGGCGATACCGTAGCCTGTGGTGGCAAAAACCTTCCCCGAGCCTATGGTCATCACCTTGAAGAAATGACAGCGTAGAGATTCTGAGGAAACACATATCCACTCCTCAAAGTGTGTGCAGAACTGCCATGCTTGTGTTAGTCCTCACCTTACAACCTTCGTCCTTCCTGGCCATATAGTTCAATACTGCAGCATCATAAATAAAAGCATCCAGTTTCCTGTAAAGGGACCAGGAGGGAATTAATTCATCATTTAATGAGAGAAAGACAGTACAAGAACTGAAATTCTGACAGAGGTAGGGGAGGATGTATAAAGGTATATTTCTGCGAAGCAACGGTAAAGAGAGCCATGGTGTAAAAATATACGGCAGACAGGCACCGAGAATGATGGAGAGGGCATTAAAAGTTAAATAATGACAAGAAAAGGGAGAAGGGTGGAATAGTAAAGTAGGCTTGGCAGCAAGAGTGAAAACAGAAGGAGAATGGAAAAAAAGGCAGAAATCAGGTAGAGATCTGTGAGTGAGAGGAAGGTGGTGGAGGAGGCAAAGCGGACAAGGAGGATGGGGATTTATACAGAACGAAGAGCACAGTGACAGGGGAAGACAGCGAGGGGGGGGGGGCAGATTTATGCACTTCAGGGGGGTGAAGACATGGGGATAAAGACAGAGAGTGATGAAGATTATAAAGTTAAAATGCAGCCATACAGAGAAAGCACCATAGGACGGGAGAGAATGGACCAGAAAAGAAAGAAATGCTGACAAAGAAATTGTAAAAGAGAACGTGAAAGGGCTAAATTCAGCTAAATCAAATTATTACAAATCTGGCGAAAACCAGGAGGTTCTATTATTTCATATATGTTCACATTGAGTTATATTTGTGGTGATGAGGCCATGTGGATAATTACACAAGCTTAGGATAAAGTATTATTCAACATGGTGATAGAGACCCTCTAATCAAAACTGGAGAGGGAAGATGCTCGCACTGCTATGGGGAGGGAGGGGGGCTGGGACGGGAGAGATGGAAAGAATAAAGGTGAGAGAATTTGTGCAGCAAAGCATGAAGTGTGACAAAAGATGTGAAATGTTAGCTGGAGTTGAAAAAATGCCACTGTGGATGATGGCCTGCTAGAGCCCGAGTGAGGACATTGAAAAAGTGATAAAAAACAATAACAGCAGGCCACCCCTGCTGCTGGGATCTCTGTGCCATGAAACACCATATGAAAACACCATATGTATTAAATGCCTTTTACATCACAGTCAACTAAAAAGTATTATTTAGTTTCATGTTGATGAGATAGTGCTCTGTATGTACTGTCTGTGGTTTTTGGGATGTTCTGTTGCCTGTAGCTGCTCTATGGATTTTTATCTCTACATTAAATAGTTTTGGTTGTAGGAAAAGTATATTCCTCTTAAATAACTTATCGGTCCAATATCACTGTTTTAAAGCATGCAGTGTATGATTGTGAGTTTTAAACCAATCGAGTAAGGATGGAAACTGTATTTAATCTTAAAACGGCAATATATTTTGGCATACGACTAAAATGAAATCAGTTTTATCTGCAATTCTGTTGTAATTAGTGATAACAGACTGCAATAAAGAGTTCTAATTCTTATCTACTTAACTTTAAACAAGAGGGCAGAATATGGAATGAGTTGAGAGCACATGGGTTGCTCTGGGATCAGTGTTGGTTCAGGAGACACAACGCCTGTCAGGATGATGTGTTTATTTATACTGCACAGACGGAGGCAAGGCGCTGCTCAAACCTGAACGGAAACCGTTTTTAAACACACGCCGGAGAGATAAACAATCTCAAAATACCTGACTAATTTTGACAACGTTGTCAAAATGTTGTGGTGAAAGTTGCTCTACAGAATAGAAAACTTATTGCTAAAAACATACATTAATGTTTTTTTATCAGTTCATGATGGGCATGTTCCATTTGAAGAGAAAAATCTAAACCCTTAATTGTAATAATGTGCAGCGAACTGGACGACGGGTAGGAGTTATCATAGAAATTTTACACAGGTTGTCAAGACCTTTTTAGTCCAATAAAGTGTAAGAACAAACAGAACTCATCTCTTTAATTTGAATTTGCCTTACGCAGAGTGATTGCAGCAGAGCTCTGTCTGGAGAAAAGAAAACCTAATCTGCTTTGGCTGACTGTGGGGGAAACATTGAGTTGACTTTCTAATGAGGAGATTTTGTTTGCCGTCACTTACAGTCACAGATTCTGCTGAGACACAGCTTTTTGTTCCACAAAATCAACAGCGTTTGCCTTTGTGAGCGCGTGTGCTGCACAGTTCTTCAGTTAGACCTCTGTAGCGCTGCGTAGGAATCATTTGACCTGAAGCATGTGCGACTGTTAGGGATCAAATGGGAAAACCCAACGCTGAAAAACAAAGCCAGTAGGGGCTGTGATAAACACTGCAGCATGCGGCTGCCTACTACAGAATCTTTTTCAGTTTTCATTTAGGCTGTCCTGTCTGCAAGAAAAGCATATTTTTGGTTTAGTTTATTATGTTAATGCGTTAAGTGCTGTACAATGTTAAACAATTCTTTTAATCAATTAATTTGCGTTAACGTTGAAATGTTTGTTACAGCTACAGGGTGAATGAAAACATTTACTGTAACCATTGCCTGAAAGAAAAAAATCAGGGAAGGGGATCGTCATTCTATGAACGATTCCCAGTAGACCCTGATTTTGGGGTAATGCTCGGTTTTGTCTGGGGTGTGTTCACCTGCCTGGATGGATGTATGGTTGCTCGGGCCTGCTATGCCCACAGAGCTGCAGCTTTTCCAAAGTCAAGCAGAGAGGAGAGCCTGTTTAGCTCCTTGAGAAAGTTCTTATGAGACCAAAACTGCTCGATAATGTTGTCAGAATGTGGCTCAAGAGAGCCCTTTGCTCCGTGTGCAGATTTAGAAAGACAGCTGGGGCGGATGGCCGTTTTTGCCATTTCAGCCGTTTGTAAGTAGCATTTGGGTTTTTTCCTTTGCCATCGCTCCATGAGGTGTAACGAGAAACAAAGGCAAATGCTTAGTTTACATGGCAGGTTTTTGTTTTAAGAGTGAAATGATAACAGCAAAGCTCTCCGTATGGACTAGAAACAGGAGATCTTCTCCTTGTAATCACATTACCACCCATTATACCGTATGAGCATCCACAGAAAATGTGAAGTTAGATCATGCTGTGTTGCATGATGAGACATTATTACAGTCTTGCAGGGAGTCCTCTCCCATTACTTCCTTTAAGGCCAATGTCGGCTTTAGGTTTGGTTTTCTGTGGCTGAAGAAAAACAGTTGTAGCAGAGAAGCGAAAAGATAGGGGCAAAATAAAAGAGAGAGAAGATAGACTTTATCGAATCAAACCGCTGAACACAGGATTTGCTAATTCAGTGTTGGGCCAAAATCTGATCCCTTTTTAAGTCTTAACCCTTTTTTTGGCAAATTGGTTAACGCAAAAAAAAAAATTGAGTCCCTTCCTAAACATTCAGGCATTTATTCGTTAGGTGGATGGATGTCATGATGATGTTATGATGTTATGTTTTGATAATGACAATGTGTTTTAATCTTTAAATGAATTCAAAAGCATTTTTTAATTGTGGTGGACTGTTGTAACATTTGATTATGATTATTATGAATGTACTGTGATATCATTTCAGGGCTTTATGGTGCAAGAAGGTTCCCGGTCCGAATGCTGGGGAGGCCTTTATGTGTGTTAAAAGCCTGAGATGGTCAAACAGATTTTAGGTCTAAAATGAATACATCGAGGAAGCTTTGGCCACTTTAACACACTTCTCTACGTTTAGAAGTGGTGGGTTTCACAGACACTTAAAAGGAAATGAACCTACTGGAAAACTAAAAGCAAGACATGGAGAAAAGAAACCATCTACAAAGAGACTGCTATAGCAGACAGACCCGGTCTTTAGGTTCAGGATGGCGTCCTCCACTCCTCTCTGGTTGTATTTGCCCATGTACTGGTGCATGTCTGGGTAGTTTGAGCGGATGTTTTTTTCTGTGCTCCCGTTGGGCACTGTGCCAAACTTCAGAGGTGGGTACTGCTCCTCTGGATGCTGAAACTATCAGAGCAAAGGAAGGCAAGAGAGGGAGACGGAAAGGGGCATGAGGCACACCAGCCTGTGCACCAATCTGTCTGACCTATTTCTGTCCACTCTCCAGACTAACTTACAACAATTCATGCACACTCAAATATGAAAAGGGAGCAATCTGTGGACCTAAAGTAATATGCAAGACTGACTTAAGAATCCAAAAAATGCGGTAATTGAGTTACATTAAATGAGATTCTATTCATTCTAAATTCCCATGGTTTAATCAATTTAACATTCAAATGCATGGAATTTGGTTCGCTTTAAGACTTTAATGCTCCCACTGCTCTCTACCCTTAATCAGTATTCAAACAGCAAGCCATACCTTTTTGTCCGAGAGGCCTGACACCGTGTCAATGTACTCCTCCTGGATCATGAAGGCAGCCAGGTTAGCAGTGTAGGAGGCCAGAAAGATGACAGCAAAGAAGGCCCAAATCAGCACCATGATCTTGCTTGTGGTTCCTCGTGGGTTCTCCACTGGCACAGAGTTGTTGAAGACAATGGCCCATAAAAGCCAGACAGACTTTCCTATAGTGAAAGTAGACCCTCCAGCTTCTGCTCCGAGTAATAAAGGGGGTACAGAAAAGGAGATATAAGGTTCTCAGAGGGTAATGAGTAGCTGTGACATCTTTTTCAAGAGAGCAGTACAGCAGTATGAGACACAATAGCGTATTCACTATTATGAGAATGGGGTGAAGCTGCCAATTTGGAATGTCCCTAGTTGATCTGTAAAACAGGCTTATCGTGAATGGGAAAAAGGCCATCTTTTTTTTTTTTTTTTTTTTTTACATCTAAACCTACTGAGGCATTAACTACACATTTCAAGGAAATGCAGTTTTCCATTCTACTGGTACATGATCTTGAAACTGATTAAACCACTATGTGCAAGTAGCCACTTAAATATCCCCAAAAAACACTGATAGTTAGAGAGAAAGGGAGAAGAGAGATGAGAGTGAATGGGAAAAATATAGGGGAAGATGATGAGAAGTCAAATTATGTAGAGCGCAGCAGTCGTGCAGAAAAAAAAAAGCGAGTCTAGAGGAGTATGGATCCAAGGCATCGGGCATACTATGTAATATCACAGGGGTACAAACTATGATGCTGAATTATGAATGGCTGCTTTAATATTGAGTATACTTAGATGCAGTACAACATACTGTATGTATAAATTCTTCTTCTTCTTCAGAGCAAAGTATTTAGGGCAGCATATTCAATATGCCCATCAGTCAATTCTAAGTAGGACAGCCATGCAATCAAACAGCAAAACAACAATTGAATTTAAGACACACACACACACACACACACACAAAACATCTTCAGATTCTCCTTAAAAAAAGAACATGTTTGACTTCCCTTGTTTGTTTTTCTTGTTTGTTTTGTTTTTTCAGTTTTTCAGGAAGGTGTTCAGTGTTTGTCCATTTGATCCATTAGGTAACAGTGATGGGCTGCACGCAGACCCATTTGTCAGAGCAGAAAAGCCAGACGGCTTAGACTCATCACTCACTTTTGCCAGTCTGCAGGCTGCGGTTGTAGCCCACAGGGCTGAAGAATTCAAAAATGAAGACAGTCACAGCTACAACAGTCAGGCACATGACGAACATCATCACCCACACAGCTGGACTGTAGGGTTCTGTGACAAAAGATAAACACAAAGGGAAAGACTAAAGACACCGAACAGTGTAAATAGATTATTTTTCATGCAACTCATCAATTCAATTAAAGGCAAAAAAAAAATCGTAAATATTTCGTAAAGCTGGCACATAATGCTCATTAAATATACAGGGATGAAAATCCTCTGGCATGGAACAAGAAAGTACGAGTGCAAACAAATTCCTCAGAAGTCCATAAACACTGCTTCTCTTTGCAACAATCTTCTCAGTGCAGTCTACAAGCCAATAACCCTGCCCTCCCACTGGGCCTGGAGTCTGCTGACAGAGTGGAATAAGAAGTTAAGAAGACATGAGCGGCTGAGAAAAAAAAGACCGGCTAATCTTGATGTGAAGGCCAGAAACCAAAGATCAAGGCGTTTTATGCAAACTCGACACTTTTACAATTAGATTAGATTCTGTACTTGAGCTGGATGCGTCACATAAAAACACAGCCTCTTACCTAAAAAAGCTGATGGTGATACAGTTCCATTGCTGCGGGAGACCATCACACTGATCCCCGTCTCCACAAAAGGGACTGAGAAATCCACGACCTCTGACCTTTCTTCATTGATGGTGAGCGAGCCGATGGCCATATCTGCCCGCTTGTACACCACCTACAGGGAGCATTGGAAAGAAATTAATCCAATTACAGGCCATTTGTGTGGCTGTTAAACAAAGACAATACGGGCCTTTTATGGTCCACAAAGCTTTATTTTCAGGTGAGATCCCGACATTTTTACACCATGAGCGGCTGCACATCCTTGAAAGTGCCAGCATGACGGACACCAGTGAGCCGCTGCAGTACAACCACTGAAAAAAGTGTCCATTGTCTATCTCTTTAGCGAGCAAGGACCCATCTCCTCCCTGCCACCATGTAGAAAACCTCAAAAGTGCTGTGTCTGCTAATTGTACCAGTGAAATGTTAATCTACATTAGCCATGGCACATCCGCTCTTCAGGGCAAATCAGCAGAAAAATTAAGCAAGGCAGAAAGCAAAGCACCTTCCTCTCAACTCCACCAAGTTTGTGGATTACCTGATCAAAGAATGGCAGGCTTTGGAGCTGCTGATCAAAAGGCCGACATTAGTCAGAGAAAACAATTTCGCTTGCGAAAATAGATTTGACAGACAGCTCTGACCTGTGGTCAAGCTGTAAACGATAAGAGCAGGAGATCATAGTGGAACTGTTTTGGAAACCGTAACTAATGGCATTTGGCAAGTTCCCTCTGGGACAAAGATAGAAAAAGAAGGGAGCTTCAATGAGGCAGCAGCCACCTTATTGATCTCAGCATTTGTGTGTATGTCTAGCTTTGTTTCTTTTCAAATGTCTTTTATATTGTCCCTGCTGTTTCTGCATTTTTCTGGAGGGGAGATTATGAACAACGTGACCAAAAAAGACCAAAAACTGACCACAAGTCTCCATTCAATGATTGTGTTTATTTCTTGTGTGAGATGAGATATGTTTCCGTAAATGAACTGTCGCTGTTTCTAGGAAAATATACCCACTGCTTGTCTTATATATGCAGCTTGTCCTCTTAATTTATCCGCATGTTTGTTTCCCTTTAATACGGTGTATGTGTGCCTGTGTGTATGTGAACGCGTGTGATAAATGACAGCTGTCTGCTTGCTGGCAGCTGTTAAGTGGCCATAACTTTCACTGCGATTGATGTGATGCATAAAGTTTAAGTGGTCAGCCAGGACGCAGGACCACATGCCGAGGAATGCCGCTATTCAGTTTGAATAATGAAAATGTAACTAGATATGCAGAGGCACGCCATGCTTTTTCTGGTATTGCCAGGACTGATACTGCGAACATATTGCTGTAAAAGGACAGAACAGGTAGAATCACCGTCATCCATGTACACACACATCAACAAAGACTTGCCTCTCCAATCATGCCATTCCAAACCCCATCGATTTTCTTCCCATGCTTTCCATTGGTCACTAAGTATAGGTCATAGGTGAAGCCCACAATTTTGGCCAGTCGCTTGAGGATGTCGATACAGAAGCCCTTGCAGCACTGCTTCAAGGGAGCCACACCCTCGTGGATGGCACTGTGAAAGAGATCCAAAGTAGAGAAATAAACACATGGCAAATGGAAAGTCCAAATACTTAAAAGTTGCATTCTGGCGGACCTGGAAAGTAAAGAAAACAATAGGGTCACAGAAAAGGAATTCTGTGACCGGGCCCTTAGTGACAGGTTTGATCGACTGGTGCAGGATAGGTTCTGTCATCCCTTCTGAAGCTGATGAACCATAAAGCTCTCTGTGGCCATATTTGATTCAAGACTTCTGAGTCATTCCAATGATCCTCAGGAGAACAGTCTGTTATTGATTATGGTCGGGGAGTAAAGACACCACAGCTTTGATAGGTGACTGTTGTCAGCTCAGTTCAATGGCATCATGAAAGTGTATGGACTTCATTTACGATTCCAGTAAATGAAAAGAGAGGCTGCTGCTGCTATTTCGCTTAATCCTTAACTTCTGAATGTCATTTCCCTGTAGAGTTGGGCATGCAAATGAACATCTTAATTGTATTGTATAGAGAATTATGATAACAACACTCAATAAAATAGACCCTTTTTTGTGGGATTTTCTCTTTTACTATAGCTTTCAAACCTGGCATTAAGGGGTCGTCTGCAGGGAACTGAATCACGGATGCAGGTTCCAGATGCAGGGTCGGCAAGTTCCACAATGACAAATGGCCTTTCCTCCAGTGTGACCACACGCAGGTGCTGGGCATCATCAGGTGGTTTAAGGAATGGCCCATAACGGGACCAGGCTGGATACCGAAGCCTCAACACACCATTCTCCCACCAGCCTACCTGAGGAAACAAAGAAAACAAACATTAGAGGCTGGGGCAGTACACATAGAAATCTTTTTTCCCCTCATACTAGCTTTGCTGATGATGATAAATCAATGTGTCATCTTAACTGTGCTGAAAAAAAGGATGAAAAAAAAACAATCAAACAGACTTTGTGCCTTTTCTTACAGAAAACTTCTGTAGGAAAATGTACCCAAAATTTTCCTTCTTACATCTGAGGTTATCAAAACAAAGGCTTTCAAATGAATGACAGAATCAGTTCATGCATCCAATTTTGGATTCAGCACGCTTTCCAAATTTAGAGAATATTTGGCTGCACTATTCCTATCTTTAAATTTCAAGAAAAGGATAAACTGTCCTCAAACATAATCTGAAAATATCTCTTTCAAGTTCTTGTAATTTGTCATGCGGATAATCATCCAATCCGTGTGACATTTTTTAGAATTGTCTTGTTGTTAAACCCAGACATTTAAACAATGTATTCAATTATTTCAGCAACTAAAAACAAACACCACAAATTGATTGTGAGCGAAAATGGAGAGCCTGATCAGAACCTAATAGGTAAAATGAGTCACATGCTTGCGTCGATTTCATGTCCACTCTGTTCATTCCCATCCAGCACATCAATGGCCTGACTGAAAATCAGTATTACTGTATCAAATCTGCCCTGCGATGGACTGGCAGACTGTCCAGGGTGTGCCCCGCCTCTCGCCCATTAAAAACTGGGTTAGGCTCCAGTCCCCCCACGACCCCATTTGGAAATAAGCAGTTCAGAAAATGGATGGATAGATGTATCAAATCTCTAATGTTTTGCTTTCTTCCCATATCCGGTCAATTCTTTTCCATGTATTCTTAATTTTTTTGCATGTTGATGAATAATGAATAAAAAATAGGTGTTGTTTCAACCAATAGTTTGCTGTAGAAAGCTGGTCTTTGAAACAGAGTTTGTGCATTTTCAGGCCTTTTACACATCCCAGTTAGAAAAGAAACCTATCAAATCAAACATGTAAGACAGATCTACAGTCCATATGGTTGAAAAAATTTGAGTGGCAGTAGTATTGCCTATAACCTCTTATAAGTGTTTACTCAATATTAGAGTATGATATGCAAACACATATCAAGTTCATCTTTATTTTTATTAATTGTTTTACAGAGCGCGAGATTTGTATATCATTAGAATCGTAATCGTATTGGGTAGACATAATAGAAAAAACAACTCTCAGGAAATGCTGTAAAACCTTTCACTTTGTTAACCTGAGTTCTTGGAATAATCTCAAAGATATGCTTATTATATTCACAAATTTGATTTTAGAATAGACTTGCATATGTTTCACCTTGTTTTATGCAAATTGAGAAAAATTGCTTTCAATATACTGTAACACAGTCCGGTACAGGAACACCATAAACTGTCAGTATGAAAAGAGCACAGAAAAACAGAGGACCATCAATAAAGCCTGAAGTTTATGGACTTAAAATTGCACACTTTCTGGTCTTTATTTTGTCATTACAGCTGTTCTTCTTCACTGTAATGTTCATTGTAATGTGGGAAGTTAGCAATTCCATCCAAATCCTTAACCATAAAAATGCATTAATTCATGTTTTTGGCTCTATTAACGTCTGTGTTACATCAAACACCAAACAAAACTGAAATCTGGACAGTGGGCTTTACAATTTGAGATGCTGGTGCTGTCTAACGTATACATCCATATATTTTCTATATCTGCATAATCCAAGACGGAGGCATATCAGGAGCCTATCCCATCTTTCATTGGACCAGGGACAGGGAACGCTGGACAGACCACCAGTCCATCACATCTTTAAGTCCCTAAGAGTCAGGAGCCTAAGGTCCACTTAATTTGGTATAACTTTCAAAACTTCATGTCAACTGATCTGCACGCGTCTGTCAAGGATGCCTTTATCTTTATCATTTTTCTCTTCCTCTGCACATTGTTTATCTGCACTCGGAATGTGTTGCATGCCGGAGATGATAAACATTTGAATGGAAGATCCAAACATAGGAAGACCCATTTTCCAGTGCTGCTCTGTGTGATCAGCGTCGGGATAAAAAACAGCACAGCAGCGGAAACTCATGCTTGCGCTAGACCCGTGGAGACGCAGAGACAAAGAAATGCACACACATAAAAAAAACAATAAAGAGGTGAGTGCTTCAACGGGCCAGTGTAATAAAGTTTGGCAGCCCTATGCAGCTCTGGCTGTCTGTTTAATGCAAGTGCTGGCAGAGAGGTGGATCGAGTAGAAACAATGACAGTGTCTCAACTGCACTTCGACCATGACTCCAGCACAGACATTCAATCAAAACAGTCTGAGGGAACACAGACAAAGCTTGCTGGAGAGGACGCTGCACTCTGAAAGACAAATATCTACAGACACAAACACACACTTCAGAAAAAAGTTTAACGGAGAAAAAAAAAGAAGCCTCAAACTAAAAATTGCTAGAACATTATGTGTTAGAGAAAGTATTTTGGCTTGGAGCAAAAGTGTGAACACTATGAACTAAAGTGTAATTCCTCTGCAGCTGTGAGGAGCTTTAATAAATGTTCATTAAATTCTGGTAATATCCTGGAACATCTATCTCCACGCGCTGTCTCCACGGCTGAAACAAGCCGTGCTAATACTGGACAACCGTCAGCACTTGTCTGTAGTGTTTCAGTGAGCTAAGCTGGGAGCTCCCAGGCTCTAAGTAATGGTGCAGTCATTGTAAAGAGAACATTAAATATTCAGGGAGAGCCAACAGCATGGATGTGCATAATAGGCAGATACAGGCGTCTTATCCTCAATGTGTGTGTGTGTGCATTACGGTTTATGCAAGAAGCGTGAACGCATATGTGTGTAAGCATACAGTATTTTCTCTAATTTGTGTGCACACATGTGGATGTCTGTGTGCAAGCTCTCAGGGCACATATGTGTGTGTGTGTGGGTGGGATTCGTACCCTGGGTTTGCAGAGAGTCGAAGGACGAGCGCAGGAGCCTCTAATTGAAAGGGATTTGAGGGATATGGCAGAAGTCAGCATGTTACGACACGCTGAGACTGGACTCTGGTGGGCTGTTAAAACCAGCAGGAGGCTGAGAACCACCGATGTGTGTGTTTGCGCATGTGGGGGAGCGTCGCTATTTGTGCCGTTAGAGAGTATATGATCTGAGGAGACGGTGTGTCTCATGCATGTGCAGTGTGGTGTTGGGGAGCTGGTGGGTAGTTGAGAAAATGAGCATGACTCTCCTCTGACTCCAACAAGGAAGTATAGAATCTGTATTAAAGGCAGAACATCTCCAACAGGTGACAAAGCTTCAGACTAAAGACTTCCAAACAAACAGGGTTTTTTCGAATATGCATGACATGTCAGGGTTGCTGTTGCTTAGGAGATATGCATACAGTTATGCAGGCAAGATTCTGGAACACACAAACTAACGGTGAACCAACAAGCACAGCGTAATGACACTTGGAAATCTTCAAACCTGCAAAGGCTTGTGAATATAGACAGGAGCCGGGAACCAATCAGCAACTATTGATCATAGCAAAATCAGGCAGCTGCTGCCGACAAATGATAAATAAAACAAAAACAAACAAACAAAACAAAAAATTAATCAAGTTAAAAAACATCTTTTAGTTTTTAAGCATGTCTAATTACACCTCCCGTGTCAAATCCAATCACATTTTAATACCTTGTCCTTTGTATAATTACATTTAAGCAATTGATTAATCGATTAATTAATAATCAATTAATTCAATAAAAAGAGAGGGGGGAACTAAATTTCAAGTCAACCAACCTGAAATAATTTGGTTAATTGTGTCAAGCTAAAGCTTATTGACACTTAATTCAGGTTAGTTGATTCTATTTTTGTGCTAATATTCTCTTTACATCATCAGAGCTCAATTAACTGACCACACTAACATTATTCATATTGTTCAGGCTTTTTATCAATCCACTTATTTTCTATATGTCCTTAATTCAATTGGGGGAGAAAGATGCCCAGCTCAGCTGTTTTTGCCGGCGCATACAACATATGAACAGGTCACCAGTTTTTTTACAGGATGGCTTTATACCTATAAAGACTTCATTGAATTTATAAGGTTTTATATTTGATGGAGCAATTTTTTCAATGGACTAACGGAAACCAGAAACACAGAGAAGCAATAGAAAGACAGCAGGCACAGCAGGCCAAGCAAAGTGCAGTTAACTCATCATCAGCCAGGTTTTCTCCCTGCCTATGGGCACTGAGAGCCATAGTGAACTTTACAAGAACATGAACCATCGTGACCTATCTCTCTTCACTGTCAACTTTGCGATCTTTTTTTAGATGCCAAAGCAACACAGATCCACTCTTCCACCTCGCACAGAAAGATTAAGGCTTCCATGTTGTGCAAATCAGCAAAAAAACAGCTTTGGGTTCTGTTGCCTGAAGCTTTTCCTATTTCAGCTTCATCAAAGATGAAATTATAGTCTCTGGTATCGTGGCATCTACAAAAACAATTTATGCAGATGCCAAAGTAATATACTGTGCATAATATAACAATCATGACAAGCATTACAATCCACAAACACATGATTATATATTTTGTCCTTACATCTTCCCATCCACGCCCAGGTGTCCAGGAAATTACATCCAAGAAGGGGTTGGCAAGGTAACCGTCACCGTTGAAGGAGAAGTCTCGACCACCGAGAGTGATGTTGCTGAAATATCTGCATTGTTTTTTAGACAAAGGTGTAAGAAGATTGTAAAAAACTAAAACTGCGATGGGGAGTTATGCAGTAAATTAACAGTTTTCACAGGGATAAGAGGCGCCGAAAGCCCAAATCTGTAGCGTTTTCATGCCATCGAAGCCATGTTCTCTTTCTGCTCCAAACTAAATCATAGCAGCTCTGTAGTGTCAGTCAGGACGTGTCTGTTAATCAAACCCTCAGACAAATGATCAGACAGACAGGATTGTCAGGATCTTTGAAATCAAACAACAGCTGCTCTCTGCATAGGCCTCAATCTCTATAGTGTGTCTGATAATCACACAGGACAGACCTTCCAACTGTCTCCCTATGTCATCTCTCTGGCTTCAAAAACAAAACATCTGAAGCTTCTTTTTATTTTTTCGTTTCATGACAGAGAGCTTCAGATGGAGCAGCATCTTGTAGTTGCAGACAGTGAACAGCAGGTAGCAGTGCAAAAGAAAATGGAAATGAAAACATCTCTCTCCTCTCTCACTGGACATAGTTTACAAACATACTAAGGAATGCATTAATCATTTCCATATAGTTTCCGCACTGTTGCAGCGCGGCATCATTTACAAACATGGCTGCAAATAAACTAGTTAATTACATATTTGGCTTACTTCCAATGATCAGATTTAAAGTAGTTTCTATCTTATTGTGAATGACATAGATACATATTTGGAGTTACAACAACTACTGTTTGAAAAGGGCCAAGATTATAAGCAAAAATTTGCGCTACCTGTTAGATTGTGCTTATTCTTGTTTATGCAGCTTGTGAGGAATATATTAAGTCCAAGTCATTAATATACATGAGACATGGTCCACTTGCCACAGATGCTGTGGTAATTTCGTCAGCTCACAACTACATGGACCAACAACGGCATTTTGCATTGATGATTACCAGCCCCAATTGAGATATTCCCTTATGTGCCTGCTCTCTGACACTAAAACTAACTCCACCCAGATATCTTAAAGCTAATTCTGGCCATGAACCAAATATCCTTTTATAGAATAGACCCTATTCTGAGTATTTTGCTTCCCCCCATTTAACACAATTTGTATGGAGCCCGCCAGTAGTCTTGCTCTCGCTGTTTTAACCTAATATCGCTCTTCCTTGCTCTCTAAATTTCCCTCATTAAAGATCCCTCGCTCCTCTCATCTCCATCTCACCTCATCCTGCCTCGTAGTCTCTGAGTCTGATTGGCATCCGTCATGCAGTTGGTTACAAAGTTTGGCCCACCGGTGGTCCCATATTCCTTGCGCATTGCCACTGCTCCATGAGTCAGCACAGACACACCTCGAGCAATCCGCCGCCTAGGTTCGTCCCTCCAGCCCTGAGGCCGTACCGCAAATATAGCCTGAGGCAGGTTCTCCATGCCCAAACCTGAGAGAGCTGGCCCCACTGCAAACCACATGTGTGAGGCTCCAGCTTGACCGGCTGCCCAGGCGGCACGGAAGACCAACTCAGCCTCCTCCTGAGAGCAGTACAGCAAACGTACCTGGAGGACAGCAGGAAGGCAGGGAGGGAACAGGGACAGGGGGAGACACACACACACACATACACTCTAGTGAGATAAGGAGGGGAAAGGGGAGACGTGGAGAGAGACAGAGGGTGGGAGAAGTAAGGGGAGAAAGATAGAGCTGGAAAAGAGGTGCACCTGAGCGGGAGAGGGGAAAGGTGGATAGAAAAGGCCATATCAAGAAATAACAAAAATGCTGGGAGAGGTAAGAGGAGAGATAACTGTCAGGTGATGTGATAAGGTTTATGGAAGTCGGTCATACTATTTCGAGTGAGAAGCACACGCTGCAGGAAGTTGCATGGTCTGTATGCTAACCTGGAGGTAGAGAAGGCAATGGAAGTAAGTGTTTAATGAGCTCGAGCCTGATCAGACAAGTTACTGTAATGAAAATTGATAGCAAAAAAGGAAAGTTAAACTGTTAGCGGGGAAACACTGAGGGAGAGTTTGAAAAAAGGGAGACGTTGGTGGGAAATAACTGGGCGCATGTAAGGGGAAATCAGAGCAAAGAGGTTTGGATATGTTTTTTAAAAAGCAGAGTGGAAAGAGACCTGGAGACAACACGACAGAAGAGGCAAGAGTGAGAGTCAGAGAGAAACAGTTACTCCATAGAGACTGGAAATAAAAGATGGAGGTAGTGGGAAAAAAGCAAAGGATGGCATATTCTTGGGAAATCAAGGCCCGTAGAAATGGAAGATATTTGTGAAAGAAGATGTAGGATGATTAAGTGTTGCTTGAGGAAAAGGAGGAATATAATACAGAGATAAAACAAAGAGAAAGCAGTGACAGTGAATGAGATTTCTGCCGCAAATGCTGAGGTAAGGAGGGAAGAGGAGGGAGGGAGTAGTAGATATTGGCCAAAAGAGGTTTATAAAGACCTAAAAGAAAATGAGGAAAAAAGAAAAAGGATTGACAAAACGAAGATGGGTAAAAAAAAAAAAACAATGAGGCTAAATGCTCACAAATACCCATAAAGATAAGGACGGGAAGAATTTGGAAAGCAAGAACTACAAAAAATGAAAGAGTGAGAGCAAAGAGACGAAGGGGAATTGAAGGACAAAAAAGAGGAAGACAACTCTTTCGTGCAGAGAATGGGGGCGGCCAGGGATACAGACTGAAAGCACATTTTGAGAATTGCGCCTTCATTGAATTTTTAACTGTAATGGCTTGGCAAAACAATCCTGCCTGTGTGCCAATAAAAATCCAGTGAATTAGGCAGGGACCAAGAGTGACAGAGTGGGAGGAGGAAGGAGGGAGAAAATGGGTGACAGACAGAGAGGAGGAAACTGACGTAAGGAGGGAAGGAGAGAATTATTATAAACAGACACACACAATATCTGAAGATGGGAAATGGAGTAAGAGAGAAACACAACAGCAGGAGAAAGGGCAAAAGACATATTGACAAGGCAGAAGCTGGAAGAGAAATTGAACAAGAGACAGACAATGAGAGAGTTGAGTAGTAAGGGAGCTACAGACCTGTATCAGGTCATCTACAATGTAGAAAACAATACCATAAATGTAGCACACAGAGAGAGAGTATGACACACAAACATAAGTGACATCACCAAGCGATCAGAAGCATTTATTAGCCTTGCAGCAGAGACAAGCTAGCGGGGGGAAAAGAGCAGTTGTGAAAAGCAAAGAGGTTAAAAAGTGAGCTGTTCATACAGGCAACTCACTGCAGGCTGTATGTTACAGCGGTGACACGGGCCGAGGAGAGCCTAAGATATCCAATAAACATGTACATATCTAAAGACACTACGGCAAACAGCATACTGTGGCCGGTCAGACATGCAGAGTGCACCAATGGACTGAAGGATTGAATGATAGCCATACAAAGATGGAGCTGCAAAGCAAAGCAAGGCAAAGCAGCAGAGGAGATTGAGCTTGTCTCTAGGCAAAGAAACGCAGGAGGGCAGGCAAAGGTAGGGGAGGGGGTGCAGACAGTAGGAATGAGAATTCAGACCTGAGCACAAAAATAAAATGGTAAATGAAGATTTTTGGGGTCAATAAAAGGGTTGACTGGCTAAAAACAATGACAGATGAAAGAAAATAGAATAAAAAGCCAGGTCATCAGTGAATGCAAGATAACTACGAGAAGAGGAAATAAAAGTATGAAAGATATAACAGGAGATAAACGAGCAAGCATACATTTCAGAGGAAATGAAAGGCATCAAGAGTACAAACCCAAACCACGATTCACTCTTTTCAAGAATAATGATTCAATGTACGTAATTTAAAAATATGACGAGATTGAGTTTCAGTTGACCATCATACATGGAGTAAGTGGGGGGGGGAAGCTATTCATGACATTGATGGCCAGACACCTAATATTCAAAATCAGCTCAGTTAGAAAATATCCAGGGCCAGAGTTAATTATCCTGCAACAAGCAGTCGCCACCAGAGGATCGTTTTTTTACAGATGTATTCCCTGCAGGCCTACAGATTAAAAGCAATTGCGTTTTAGAGCATTCTAGTGATAGAGTTGGTGCCAATCCAAACAGACTGACACATGGATGTATCCTCAATAACTTTAAGTTAAGATACAGAGATACACTTATTTCCTGGATCAGTTTTGCCAGAAGTGGTTCTGTTACTTTTGAAGACATAATAAAACGTGTTAAAGACTCTCACTCATGTACACATATTTCCATTTGATGGAAATTCTGCGGTCACAAAAGGTTCCTGCATCCGCAGGTGTCTCAGACCGCAGATGGCAGGTGATGCTAGCTAGCCGGTTCCTCTCACACAAAACTCCCCCAACAGCCAGACAGCAAATCAGAGCGACTCGTGGTTTACGTTGTACTGTTGAGCGCTTATCGCTTCGGCAGATGGGGAGAGAAGAACAGAGGGATAGAGGAGAGAGGGGAGAGAGAGAGATGGAGGGACAGAGGGAGAGACGAAGAAGGAAGGAAAAAGCCGGGGAGCCACCCGTCAGAAAGGGGGGCCCCCCCATTGGTAGTCGCAGCACTTCCTCCCCTTTCCTCCCTCTTTCCTCCCTCTCTCCCCCCTGTCTCACCTGCGCCTCGTTCTCCTTCAGCAGCCTGCGTGTGCGTGCCCCCCCGGGGTCATCGGTCACATTCAGGATCACCACACTCCTCTTCTCCCAGCCGATGAACGAGCCGTCCGTTAGGCCCTCCACCACAGACAGAAAATCCTGGTAGCCATGGTGACGTGTAGCCACCACGGAGAAGGCGGTCCAATCATACTCCTCCAGCACCTCAAAGATGACCTCTAATTGGAGAGCAGTGGAGGAGCTGAACTGGAGAAAGATGGAACCTGACTCCTGATTTGGAGAAGAGAGCAGCAAATGTGGTCAACAAAATCTCACCACAACATCCATCCTCTGCATCTTCACACCGTTTTTCTGTCGCTACAGAAAACTACAATGCTCTGAGCTGCTCCGTCTTAATGCACAACATAAAGGCATCACGGGGCTTGAAGTTTTTATGAAGCAGCAGCATTCACGCAGCCGCGGGGCTAAAACAGCTTGGACCGCCGAGTTAATTCTCCAGAGACGTCCAGAAGGGAGTGTTTCTAAAAACTCTGCTCGGGGTTGGGAGGGGATGAGGACTAGGCTGGGGTAGAGCTTCAAAAGATGTTTATCAGAGTGCTACAATTTAATTCCTCAAGAGTAAACGATTAAAACAGTTATTTTTAAGCTCAAATATGCAACTTGTTGTTTCTTTTTCGCCCTGTCTTGTGATGCAATGTGGCACAAATCTTCTTTAAAGCACATACAATCTCACCACACAAAAATAAACTCTACATACACACTATCCTTACACACCCATGTCAGCTCATTGCTCCCCTACCAGTAACATCAGAGGCAGAGCGACAGCCCCAGTTGGTGCCATTTACAGATCAAACAGAGCAGAGTTTTTGCAGATCAGTGACGCTGACCTTCAGTTTCCCCTTCATCCCATTGGTGCTTTCCCACAGCCTTTCTCCCCACAAAGGATGCACCACATTATAACTTTGTCAGTTGGAATGGCAATATAAGCAGCTCTCCCTCTACTCTTCATTCATAGCCCTGTCATTCCACACACCGCCTCTGGACAGAGCATTCTTAATATTATCAATCCTTCCCTTGCTACTCCTCAAATTTTGAGCTACAGAATCGCGTATTTAGTAGATTCCCCTCCTGTAATCTACAGCACTTGTTTTAACAATTAGCAAAAGACTGCGAACAACCTCTTCTTCATCGTCCCAACCAAACCCCAACCTCTCTTATCATACCTGCGGCATCCTCCCCAGCCCTGCTCCCCCTCCTACAGCCACTATGGGCAGTCCCGTTTGCGCAGAGACAAACTCCAGCATGGGGGCCAAAGGACCCCAGGCAGTGCGAGGGGGCCTCTCCTCTTCGTAAACCAGACCCTGCAGGGGTCTCGCCGCCAACAGCTCACACAGTTGGGACAGCACTGTCTTAGGACTACTGTCATTCACCTGGGAGACGAAGGGTGGCAAGAAGAAAAACAGAGTAAAACAACCAGGGAAGGGGGTGTTTTCCACAGTGTGTCATTCATGTAGGGAGTGTGCTGTGTGCATGTCAGTTCTGACCAACAATTCATTGTGGTCATTCAGAGCTTCCCCCACATTCAGCTCAGTGAGGACGGACGATGAACTGCGTCTGCACATCTTCAAGTAACGTGTGACACAGCGTCTAACCTGTAGCCAGATGACGTTAGCGGAGCCCCACTGGGTGACAACGCTCTCCCCCAGGGAGCCATAGACCCGGCCGAAGCCGGGGTACAGCACCCTTCCTCCAGGCCCCGCCACCGCTGCCTCCGCCTGCACGGTGGCCCCGGCATGGATAACAGCAATGTTGAAGTTCATCATGGCCGATGCATCACGCTCCCGCGGGCTGGGCCGCAGCAGGAGGTGGGGGGATGAGTCCACCAGACCTGCCCACTCTGCCAGGACCAGTAGGAGAGAGAGAGTAGGTATGGCGACCATGGCAACCTGCCGAGGGGGGAGGCAGATATATATCGCACTAAGAGAGGGTGCCTGAAAGAAAGACAGACAGCAAGCAGAATAGAAAGATGGTGAAAAAGAAGCATGAGAAGAAGAGATTAAGTTAAACTCTTTTTTGTAATATTGTCCAGCACAGAGCACATCAAATCAAATCAGACAGAATGGAGAAGAACCGAAGATGGAGCCAGAAAGAAAGACACATAAAGAAGGAGGTGAACACAGAGTAAGGAATAAGAAAACTGATAGGATTGCCTGCTGGCCAGACTGCATGACAAATTCTGAATCCAGTTACGAGGTAATAAAAGTTATCTTTGGTTGGAAAAATAGCTGGACAGGGAATATGGGATGCAGAGTGGAAAAACAATGAAAGTGGGAGAAGGCAAGACAGAGAGAAGATTAAATTAATGCTATTTCGATTGCGGGCTGAGGGGGAATTAATAGCAGACGCAGACAAAGGTTGGAATGGAAGAGGTTATTGTGCTGCATAAATGATAACAAGAATTAGGATCGCTGTAAACTCTCCCCGCCATGCAGCTGCATCCACCCGCTGACATGTGTATGCAGATGTTCATGCACTACATTAGGAAAGCAGCTTAACGATTCAGAGATCTGAGGGTTAATGCAGCATGCACAAACACACACAAACAACCACATAGAGAGATAATGACTACCTGTGAGATAGCAGGGTTAATATGTGAGCCACACACACACAAAACACAGCACATCATTTTCAATTTGCTTCTGGTGCCAACTGGCCTCCCTCCCATTCTCCATCTCCTTCTCGCATTCCCCCCGCTCACTCTGTCTTTCCATATTCCCCATCTCTTCTCCCAATTTTCATGGCTTCAGGCACCAAACACAATTGCATTGATTAACAGGGGCCTGCTGACATAATATTCCCTATAAAGTCACACTCCTGCACTGCGTCTCTATTTTCCCTTTCCTCCGCTCTGTGTTTCTCGCTCTGTCTTCATCCGACTTTCGTGTCTTTGTCACAGTCTGCCGATTCTTTGACCCTGATCAGTCCTTTGGATAGAAAAGAAGGCAGCAAAGAAAACAAGGGCTGGGTATGGAGGTTGGGGAAAGAAGGAGGGTGGGTGGGGGGGGCTGAGCCAAAAGTGAGTGGAGGAATGAGGGATAGCGAGCAACGACGAGAGGGAGCTATGGAGCAAATACAAATGAAAAGTACTGTAAATACAGGGCTGACTTGAGATGGACTGACAGAGTGGAGGGATGTAGTGGAGGAGGAGAAAGAGGGGACATACGATGACAAAGTGAGCTGGAAGGGTTGGAGGTGGTGTAAAATATGTTAGCGAAGCAGGAAAAGAAATATTGATTACTGCGATGTGTATACGTGTTCGGCCTAAACAAATATAATTCCAACCCCGCCTGTTTTGAGTGGCAGCTCTGTGTGTACACATGTGCATGTGGATGCAGCACAGGTAGAAAGAAAAAAAAGGCAAATGAGGGGAGGTGTAAGATGTGGGTGAGAGAAAGAGATGGAGGTGCGGAGAGATCGGGAGAGACAGACTTGTTAGTGGGAAAGAGGGAAAAGGAGAAAGTAATGAGGAGAGTGGGAGAATAACAATTCCATGCTTGGTGTTTTCCTTCTTTTTGGTCTCTTTCATGCGGGTAGGTGTGGCTATCGAGAAGGGAAAGGACAGACAGAGAAAATAAAAGGGGCCAGAGATGAACTTGCAAGATTACAGTGCATCATATCATTTGGGGAGATGTTTTCCACAGAGCTGAGCTTGGAGCCATTAGCTGTTAGGCCTGTCACTGTATTTCACTTTCATGAGGTGTTTACATTGCACCGCTCAACCAGCATGTGCTATTCCCGCACAGTGAGCCCTGCTGGAAGTGTGAACAGTGTGTCACTGTATACAGAGCCCATTTTCCCTGCACTGTGCGCTGCCTGTTATCAAAAATGCTCTCAATGGCGTGCGACGCAACAAAATAACTTAAATAAATTAGAATAGAGTCCACATCCAAATCTAGTTTACTATAGAGTTCATTATGTGCAAAAATCTTGCAAGTTGAATCGTTAAGTACATGCAGGGAGATGGCCTTAATGCACACACAGAAAAGAAGTGCGGGTGCAAGCGATTAATGTTTTATTTGATTTGCTATCACAAATGAATTCTGTTTTAAAATGCAAATGTTTTCGTTTTTTTGTGTATTTTTTCCCCGGGAACTCTAAAAACAATCCTCTGCCGGTCTTCATAGCCTCCTCTTATTGAAATGCTTACGCTGCAAATGCACTACATTTGGCAAGGGACAGCACATAATTAGGGAAAGTTTTATTTGGGATCAATTAATCAAAAGGTTTTTTCAATTACCCTGAGGAAGATTTTGAGTCATGGACTCACTTACTGATGTGGGAAGAAAATTATTCCAATTGTGAGCCTTATTAGGAGCATTGTCTGGATCTCGTTTGGCTGAGATGCATGTCTCTGCCAGGATGATGAATACTGAGCTTCATTCATCTGTTTGAATAAAGAAACGTGAATATCTCAACTTGAAAGCCTTTCAGGTCCTGTAAATATGCTGTCTTTGACTATTTTTTATAGACATTTAAACCTAAATTTCATCATGATACGTGCAACTCCGATCATAAACGTCTGACTAAATCATTACACCAGCAGTTCCACTGAAAGTGTTTGCATTGTGCAGTGCTGATCTCTCAGTTTGTCAATCACTGTAATAAGCAGCTTATTGTATCTAGAGTATAATTATTTTTCTGCTTGGCTTATTTAGTTCATCTTTTTAAACAAAGCAGAACGGAAGCCAGTGTGCATGCCAGTGACTGTTAGAAGCAATCTAAAAACATCCTCAGAAATATTTACAGAGTGCTTAGCAGCGCGAATATTTTTAGACTGACAGAAACAGCTAATCAAGAAGATGAGAGTGAAATGGTCACACAGACAAGTCAGTCTCCCCTTTCTCAAGCCAAAATTGCCATCCAGTACTCGACAATCATCACACATCTTATCATATCTCTGATTTACTCTGCATAATGCGCTCACTGTGATTACAAATGATTACAGAAGTAAGGGCCACTGTATGCACAGTTTACGCAAAAATAATTTCCACTGCACTGAGAACAGGTTGCAGCTTTTGGTAGCTGAAAGTCAATTATGTAGTTTTAATGCGTGGGGGAAACTATTCAGCATATCTGGGTATATTCGGGCCTATTCGGGGGTGGTAATCAAACAAAATGTTTAGCTCCAGTCCTTTGCTTTTCTTGTTCTTTTACCTCTAATATGACACTGTAATAGGTCCTGTGTCTGTTGTTTTTTTATATTAAATTCTTTAGAATAATGTATGTTGCCAAAAGGAATAACTTATTATGCATGAGACATAAAATGCAAACCTTTCTTAGGAAATAAACTTCCTGATTAAAGTATGATAGTTAAACATCTGTTTAATGTATTCTAATTAAACAGTAACAGCTGGACCAAAAGAAGTGCCCTGTATTTTATTTCTAGAAACGGGCTAGTTTGTGGTGTGATGGTTTGTACCGTTGTGTGTACTACCCATTATTGCAAGATTTCCTAACCGGAACTCAGCTCCATTCCACCAGCCAAAAATACACACGTTAGGTTACTTGGTGGCACTAACTGATTCTGGATGTGTGCCAGCAACATCGATTGCCCAGTTGAAACAAAAAAACTAAATCAAATGACCTCCTATCTTAATTTGCTGTGGCCATTTCTGTATGCAGAAAGGTATCAACAGACACATTCCGCTTTCCTGGTTGTGAGTGTCTGCTCCTTTACTGAATAATTCCTTATATGTGTACAACCACATTTAGCTATATGAGCTCTTAATGTTAAAATGCTTTCTCTAACATCTTCGGCTTATATTACTATACTAAATCTTTATTTTTATTGTAACCAAGATTCATTTTCAACAGTCAAAAACACTGTTTAGGTGCTATCTAAAACCTTGGGACAGTTTACTAACTCTTTTTAATCTAATGTAGCAACATTAGACATCAACATCTTCTCAAATCACTAATGATGTGAATGTGCTGAAATATATGAGATGAAAATCCTCTGAAGACACACACACACACACACACACACACACACACACACACACATAGACTAATAAAAAATATATTTAGTGGACCACAAAAGTGCCACATGCATGGTTAAACTAGTTCTTTCCTCGAAGAAAAGAACCACAAATAGGCATATTCCATAAAAATTAATAATATGAAATGACAAATCATTATGAGTATAATACTCTCCCAAATCTAAAATGATTGGGATGCTATGTAAGATGTAAATAAAAACTCATTTAATTTATTATCAAATTTCAGAAATTCAACATTCAGTAAAAATGAAAAGAAATCAAATGCTTAGAGAGAAATGTGTTGATGTTTTATAAAACAATTGACTCATCTTATATTTGACAGGAGCAACATATTCTTTAAAAAGCTGGGACCGGCCAAACAATTTTAATTCAACAAAAGTAGACATTATTTTAAAAAGATAATGCTGGAGAGCATGTAGTATCATTATCAGGTATAACACAGGTACATTAGAGAGCCCCAGTCTCTCAGGAATAAACATTTCACCATTATGTTCCTCAAATTGAAACTGAATATTCAATGTTTTGCAGACGTTTCATAAAAATTTGGAGACACTTCAAAGGACATCTATTAAAAAGAATATAAGGGAATATAGGGCTCCCAGGCAGCACTACAATAAAAACAGCCATGATCCCGGCCTGGGCTCAGGGCCACTTCCACAAATCACTTACTGAGCAAAAGGTTATGATATCCAAAAATGTGAATTGGTGCTCTGCCATGCAAAGACAAAGATTTTGTGCGAGTTTATCGGTGCCTGTGGAACTGGTAACTTTAATATCTGGAGAGGCATGATCAATAATGGCAGTTACATACAGCTTTCAGAGCAGCACACGGCCCAATTCAGTTGATTTTGTTTTGTGAAAGTATTCAATTTTTCAACAATGCTAAATCACATACTGCCTCCACTCTGGCAAGTGGCAAAGGAATCCAGAGGAAGACCCTGGACTGCTCTACATCAGAAAAGAACTGGTAAACAAAGTTCCAGCAACTGGTGGCCCTAGTTTACCAGATGTTTTCAAACTATTGATGAAAGATGAGGGAATGGAACTCAGCAGGACACATGCACCCTGTCCAAACTTTGGACTTTTTTTTTATACTATCATTCCAGCAGTGAGAGAGTGAGAGACAGAGTACACACTGGACAGGGAGCCAGTCCACCGCAGCACCACACAGAGGCGAATGGGACGAACAAGCATGCACGCTCACACTGTGAGCATCACTTCAAAGTCCCCAGTCGGCCTAACATGCACGTTTTGGGACTTTGGAAGGAAGCCAGAGTACCTGGAGTGAACTCAAGCATACGCAGGGACAACACACACTCCACACATAAAGGCCAGGAACCTTCAAGCTGTCCGGTGGCGGTGCTACCACCGCACCACTGTGTGGTGCCTCTTAGATCCATTTGGAATCACCAAACAACCTAACATCAATGTTTTGAATAATGGGAGGATGCAGGACTACTTGGAGATTGGCCACTCTGGCACAAAGACAACATGCAAATTCCACATGGAAAGAGCCCTGTTGAATTTCTCACGGAAATATGCTTCTAAGAGTGTTAACCACCACACCACAGTGCGAGGGGAAAATATTATTCAGGAAAATGTAAAATGTCTCACATTCAGCATTTGATATGTCCTCCGTGTTCTCCTGGGAATAAAATATTGGTTTATGAGATTTGCAAATCATTGCTTTCTGTTTTTTATTTACTCATCACACAGTGCCTCAACTTAATGGGAGTTATATTTCTACACACAAAAACAATTTACACCCTAATTTAGAGAAGAAAAGGAACTAATTGCTGCCCAAGAGCTCAGCGGAAGAGTTTTAACTGTTCGGTGAAAAGACCTCCAGCAGCACACAGCATGTGCCACAGCAATGTTTAGGCTAATCAAAGAACCTATCTTCCATTGTTTTTGTGTTTGCAGGTATCCAATTATGTTCAGTTATCATCAAATCTCCCTCATGCAACTGAGACATATTGTAAATGGCTCTGCTCTTTTTCAGTTAATTAATTCCTGAAACTTGAGAACTCTCCCTTCCCACCATTCTTTCTTCCAAAAAGGGATCAGACTTGTGTCCTTGCTTCAAGCCCCGAACCATTGAAGCTTTTGTTATTCTCACCACCAAAAGGACAAAGAAAAAACTAAAATACAGTATAGCGACCAAGGACAAAATCAAACTGATTCTTGGTAGTAGTGTGAAAGTGTGGAAACAATCAGATCGTCTCCTCCCTCTTTCCTGTGAATGCTCGAGCTGCAGTGAGGGCCTGCAGTGACTGAGCACAGCTCTGTCCCGGGAGAGGAGAGTCGCTTGGGTAGAAGTCGGTTTCTTGAAACCGCATTTCTGAGCCCGCTTTTACACTGAGCTCCAGCGGAGGCGGCATGTCAGCCCTTGTGTTGAATGCAGTCTGCTGGGAAAATGTGAATGAGAGAGGCGTCTGCATTGTTCGGAGTGCGGAGTTGCAGAGGTGCGGTGTTCAGTGTTGTGTTTAGCCCCCATCCAGGCTCTGCTGCCTCATCCAACGCTGTCACGCAGAGTAATGGACCTGCTCCCTGCAGCCTGTGGCACGAGGCGCACTGAATCAGCCCAGGCAGCTTTCCACAGAGAACAAAAATCAACTGAAAAATATGCATCTTAATATTGAGAGTCATGTGCAAACAATTTGACGGAACGCCATTTTCTCACTCTAAGTGCTCCAAACAATTAAGACCTAGTCTCTCTTTTTCCATTTGTCCACTCTGATGACCACAGTGAACTTGAGAGAGCTGCTTCGTGTGGCCACTATCATTTTCTGTGAACCATAGCTGGACTATAGAGGATGAGATAAAGTGCCAGCACAGTGTGGCGCTCACAGTGTGTGTGCGTGTGAGTGAGTGAGGGTTGTGCTGGGTAAGATGGCAGTGTGTGGGAGCGGAGGTATGAAGAGAAGAGTGCAGCTGGAGCTCAATGCTCCTCGTGTTAATTGGCCCATACTTCAATCACAGCCAGTGGAGTGTGTCCTCTCTGACGGAACAGATCCTCTCCCCCCCTCTTTCTCCCTTTCCCAATCTTTCTCCCTCCCTGTCCTGCTACACTTGTTCATTCACTCATCCCCCACGCTCACACACACATTCGCTTGACACACGTGTTGACAGGCTCGCAGACTTCCCCCCTCACTCAGTCTGATGAAGTTTGTGTTTTCCTCAATCATTCATCCTCTCATGCGTTCATTCATTCAGTGACTCCATTCCCACTATGCAGCGTCTCACTTTCACTCACTCTCCTTCCACAGCTCCCCTCACAGCTTCTCCTCTAACCCCCCTCCATTCTTTCCTCCGAACACGTCTTTGTCCTGTACTTCTCTCCCTCCTATTTCCTCCCTAACCCTCCCAGACTCACTTCCTCTCATTTTCTCCCTCCCGATCACTCTTCTCCTCCCTCTTTGATCCCTGCCGAGCAGAAGAGCCACCGGGCAGGCGAGCGGCTCTTGTTCCCATTGTGCGTAGTGTTTAGAGGGATCGGCGCGCAGCAGCAGGGCGTACGCTGCTGTGTGTGTTTCTACTGCATGGCTGTAAATAGCAGTAGTAAAGCCTGCTGTTGCCACCACCGCCTCCTTTGGACTTGATGGCTTTGGCTATCATAAGCCATTCAAATGAAAAAACGATGGAGCCATCTATCAAAGCCGCTGGCACTACAGGTCTTGCAGGGAATGCACAATATCTTTAAATTATACATGCCACCAGCTGATAACCAGATTAAAGAGGCGTGCTTCTGTTCAGAAGCATTTTTATGTGGATCAGTTACATTTTAGGGGGGTATATAGAGAATAAATAATGGTTTTAAAATGTCAGACAAGTTCACATAAAGAGAAGCACACTGCGCAGGAAAGTGGCCTTCTAAATGAGGTAGAAATTAAATTTTTACACTGTTTACAGCAAATGTAGGAAAACTACATGCAAATCATAAATCAAATTATTCTTGGGAGGGAAAAGAAAAGGCTCGGTTGGTTTTCTTGATGTCAGAAATTTGTTTCAAGCAGGTAGTCTCCAGTTGTCCTCTTTGTATGTATGCTGTAACCTTTTACAGGAACAAAACGAAACAGTCACCATGACATCTCACTTTGATGTTTCTTCACAACAAAACTACATTTTATTCTGACATTTCAAGCCCCTTTAACTTCATTGTGGTGGTATAAAATGCTTTTCATTTATCATTTTTATTAAAAAAGTATTCATATTTCCAGGGGTTCGGATTAGGCTTTCCTGCCAAGAGACAATGTCATTTCATTGGACCTCTGTACAATAAGAGGATAACTTTCACTGTTTGAATTGGAGGACACTCCTTGTTTCTCATCCCTCTATGGATTGATGGGAATTAGATGAAGCTGACCCTGTACCCTGCCACAATGTAGCACGAACAATTCTTTGACCTCATTTTTTAACAAAAAGGAAAATGTCATAGTCTTACACACTGAGCTCGCTGGCTCTCTAGACACAAAAATTAGAGACTGAAATTAGCATCCATTACAGCTGATTAAGACTGAAATATTTGACATAATCCACACTCATCTTTCAAACTCTCCACGTTTGGCACACAGTCTATAATTATCAAAGGGGAGGGCATGTTTTATTATGCATTATCATAACTGTACTTGCGTCTTATAGCAATAATAATTAAGAACAAGAATGAACTCGTACAGCCAGTGAAAAAAACCTGCTGTCTATTTTTTTTGCCATTGTTATTTGTAATAAAGTTACAGCATCTTGAATTGTTCACTCATGTTTTCCTGATAACGGTATGTCTGCGGCAAATAAATGCCCATACTATGACATGATGGAGGCACCACTGTGTACGCGTGTGTGTGTGTGTGTGTTATCGTTCAGCGCCCTTTCATTCATTTAATCCTCAGGACACTGAAGAGTCACACCACTGTGCTTTGACTTGTGCAGACTGCATAAAGAAAATACATTTGTGTATGAATGATGCAAAGAAATATTTCAGTACTGCCTCTATTTTATCTACCCTCTCCCTCACGCACAAATAAACACATCCATTCAGCAGACATCCGCTACAAATGGTTTACTACCCTCATGAGTGTTCGCACATAAATATCAGTAAGGTCCTGCTTTCATGTGGAAAGCCCAGTGTCTGGGGATCTTGCAGCTGCAATTCATATAACAGGGTGTAGGGTATTGTTCAGTAGGCTTAATGAGCCAGGACTAACCTGACTTGAACCAAAAAAATAGTTTTTTATGGACGCTTAATGTTTGCATGTGAACTGCCATTTCAGGTATGAGTGCTTATTTCAAGGCAAGACAGTTAGCAAGAATATCTCATCTTCTCACCTCGACACCTGACATCTTGTACGGCAGGGAGCAGAAATATGCAGTTCTGCTCACTGGGCTTTGCCTCTGCTCCCAGGCTGACTGGTATTTCACATAATTCACTCAGCGTAAATTATTTGCTGCAGTTTTTTCCAAAATGTTTTGTCTAGATATCTACAAAAAGCATGGCCTGGGGAGTTAATTTATTAATGTTTGTCTTAAGAGGGCAAGCTTTGATGGGCATCTAGAAACCATCATGGTTTTGAGTTTTGAGTAAAAAGCTTTAATCAGCTCACTATCAATGCATTTCTGTCATATAGGAATAATTGTGCATTCATGCTGTGGATTTACATCATGAATGAAAAGCTTGACTGACTTAAAAAGCACTGAGAATTAAATTAGGACCAAATTGGATCAAATATTCTCGGAAGAGGAAATACAGCATAATGGATTACTCAGAATTTTGGAGAGGGATGTTGAGGCATTTCAAACATATTCTGTTTTTTTAATTATATCTTATGGATTGCTTTCCAATTTCATTCTGAGTCAGCAGTCGCAAAGTCACACAGTTTCTCTGCTGCGATTGCTCCACGGTTTCTAATAATTTCCTCATTGATTGGCCAGACACTGGGATCACCTCGCCAGATCTAAATCAGTCACTAATTAAAAGAGCAAGATGAAAAGCAGCCAACAGTGCAGCCCTTCAGGATCTATAAGGTGAAACATTCTGTAACAACTACAAACTGGGAAGTCGCTTAAGACTCGAGGCAAGAAAAAAAAAAAGAAAAAAACGCCAGCTCCGCAAAGTGATGATTCGCAATCTATTCTAAAGGATAAACAGATTAAACTGCTGTGGGAAACCTTAACTGATAACTGCTGTGCTCTCGGTGCAAGGTTGCTCACAGGCTGCTGCACACACAGGCTTTGCATACATGAACTGCACTCTCACACAGACAAACGCTCAACAAATGTGCACGTTCCCCGGATGGGCCCACACGACGCTTGAGTCGAGCTGGACTCCGCCTGTTGAAACTCTCCACGGCGATGCTGCAGATCTGAACCGCGTTCACAGCACATCTGGCTCTGCCCACGTTCACAACCAAAGGTGTTAGAGACGCTTCCGTCAGCCTGTCTTGAGCACTGCTGGATCACGTTGGCTCACCGAAAGGAGCTCCCGGGCAAAAAAGATGACCCCACTTGAGATGACAATACCAGCAATCACAACACACGAAGAATCCACAACAAAATGACTGCAAAAGCATAACTGCTGGCATCATCCTAAAGTGAATGTCCCATGCAAACGGCTGATTTGGGTCAGGTTTACACGTTCATAATAAATAATGAGGCTTAACATGAATCATCTGGTGTGACTAACCACCTTGGAATGATCAGCATTAGTTGCACACAAACACACAAATGATGACTCAACATGATCAAGTCTCTGACATAATAGTAAAGGCCAACAATAGACACAAGCTTGAAATGCAAATGCTCGCACTTTGTGTATTCTTTTGAATAAAAAATGCTTCATCTTCCCTGAGCAACACTATTCTCAGCAGTTCTGTGATGAGAGCTGTAATCAGCTGACTTAATATTTGGGTAGAGATGACACAGAACATCAAGTGCCAACAACTGATTTAGCTTTTTCCCATCACTACTGAGTGCTAAATGTATGAATGAGTCTCTCCATTTCCCAGAGCTGCAGCCTTTGACAGAGAGTATGCCAATGCTAACTATGAGCAGATTACATAACAATAAACCTGATGAGTCTGATCAGCACCACATCAAGGTCAGGAT